TCACTCCTCACTACCTGATATTTCTGCTTGTACCTCCTTGTTCCCACTCTTACTTGATCGTTTGAGTGCCTTGCAGGTACAACCAATTTTCTCCTCAACACACAGCCCGACTGAAGATCACCCTCCGACAACTCTCCAAGTTCTGATCAACCGTCAAGATCAGTTTTACTCTTGATTGACCTTTGATGTTATTCAATCATGCTTTACTCTTGATTGACCTTTGATATTATTCAATCATGCTTTACTCTTGATCGACCTTTGTTGTTTATCTTCCAAATTTTGTTCGTGTTTTACTCCTGAAGGTCTTTAATGTATTTTCTAGTTTCATCCATTAATTCTTTTGGGTGTCTCTTTTGATTTGTTTTCCTTTCCAGTTTCATTCATGTTTTTATCTTGGATGATTTTACTGAGAGCTCCAAAAATCTTTCTTTTTGGATATCTCTGTTGATTCTTTGTTGACTGTGGAGTCCAATGTCATTCCTGGATGACTCGTATCTTTTTTCCAGTGGATTTTATAATCTTTCCCCATTGGATTTAGATTCCTTTTCCTAGTGGACTTGGATATCTCTTTGTTTGTTTCCTTGCCCTAGTTGGGTCTTTTCTTAATATTCCCTTGTGAAATTCCTTTATAATTTTCATGTCTTCTCTGCCAGTGGTTTGTCCCAAATCTATTTTGTCTGCACTCATGCATATAATATCATACCCATTTTGTGGTATTTTAGGGTTAAAAATTGGATTTTATATTTTATTTAAGTATCTCCATATATTTGATAGAAGAAACTTAAGCAAGGGCATCTATCATACCCTAATACTTGACCTAAGATTCCACATTCATCTGCATCTTTACATAACATCATAAGACCATCTCATTCATGTTTTCATTACTAACCTTGAAGAAATACAAGATATCTACTTGTTTGTTGTTTAAGTAAGATATGAGTTAAAGGGATTGACAAATCAATGGTCCTTGAAGATTCAAGCTCCTCATGCATCCATGATGATCAAGTAATCATCATCTTCATCACTCAAGAAGATCAAGAAAAACGTGCTTTAAATCATATATGGACAAAATGGTTCAAAGTATCTAGAGGACTTATTTCACTAAAAGATGAATTTCACTATTTACAAGTACAAATGACGTCATCACTTTATCAATGATTTAACATAAAACCTTTTAACACATTAAATCATGTCTTTACCATGATGAGAGGTTGATGACTAGTTTTGACGAAGAAAAGGATAGTAATATGTGACAAAATTCCAAGGACTCTTCACCATTACTCTTGCCTATAAATACAAGCATCCTCTTCAAAAAAAAGGAGGAGAAAGGGAGGAATTACTCTTGAGAAAAATGCTAAAAAGATTCATTATCATTCAAGAGTAAAAAAACATTCATTTCCTCACCCATTTCCTCCATCACCTCCATCAAAATACCTTCATTTCCTTCAACACAACAAGCTCAACATTTGCTAGCTTTAGAGCTTGTAAGTATGATTCATCCTTTATTTTTGTTCATACCATATGTAACTAATTGTTTTGTTTATATTATTTCATTTTATTTTTACTAATTGTTTTGTTTATATTGCCTCATTTTATTCTTACTATTTTTACTAATTATTTTGTTCGATTGTTCAATTTTATTTTTTACTATTTTACTAATTAGTAATAAAATTTGTTAATTATTTTTTAGTTTAACTAATTTTGATCAATTAGTTTTACTAAACATTTTCAATTAACTTAATTAAATCTTGTGTGTTAATTCTTTAAATTGTTAAATTACCTTTCCATTATTTGAGTTTATTTTGTCATGCTTTAGTCTTGACTTGTATGCTTAATGATTTATTTGTTGATAAACACTATGTTTATTGTCCTTGTGTTTTAATCCAAGGGAAGAGATTGTATTTGTTGACTATTGTGTCATGTTTTAGTTTTGACTTGTATGTTTAATGATTCGTTTGTTGATAAACACTATGTTTATTGTCCTCGTGTTTTAATCCAATTGAAGGGATTGTATTTGTTGACTATTTAGTCATGTTTTAGTCTTGACTTGTATGTTTATTGTTTCCTTTATCATCTTTGTTCTATGTTTGGTCCTTAAACCTAATATTTTCTAACTTAAACCTCTTTCAATAAAAACTTTGACTTTGTCAAGTGATTTTCAAACTCTTTTCTTTAATAAATGCTTCAAAATACCTAAGCATGTTAAGCTCTTTCATAAGACTAAAACACACAAACTTATCCAAACTTTTTGCCTCTTTGGCCTTCTCACTTTAAAACCTTTTAATTTAAAACAACCATAACAAACCCTTTTGTTATTTATATCCCGAACTACGAGGTTTTGATCCTTAATCGGTATGTAGGCATAAGGCTTTGTGTCTTTCCAAATCAAAAAACAATAAAAAACAATTCTTTTCTTGTCTCCCCAATCTTCTTGCAAACAACATTTTAACCAAATACACAAATATTACAAGAGGTTCCTATAGAGTATTATAGATACACATGATTCTAATCCACTCTCTTTGTATAACCAACCCCCGTACCTTAAATCTCTTTAAATGCATTGTTCTTGCTTTATTTTAGTGTTGCTTTTACTTTATTTATGAGTTTTATTTCACTCTTTTCCAATTTCCTTGAAAATAATAAAGCGCAGTGACAACTTCATTGTATGAGACAAGTCAATCAATGTCTTTGTCTCAATTTTTTTCACCACTACACGATCCCATGGTCATAATCACGAAGTGCAACAACTTGAAGTTAAGAGACTACTGATTAGTCAAAAAAGCTCTGCAAACATCCTCTTATGGGATGCTCTCGAAAGGTATCGCATGGAGCTAGGTGACCTCAAAGATTTTCAAGGCTCACTAGTAGGACTCACAGACGAGTAAGAACAAGTAAAAGATTACATCACCCCGAAGATCGTATTTAGAGTTGAGAAGAACACATGAATTATCAAGATAAAATATCTTGTTTCATATGCACCTTCTTTGTAACATCCAAAAAATAATTAAAATATTATTTTTAATTATTATATCAATTTTAGTGTGTTTTTTGTGATTTATTATTATTATTGTAAAATAGAATTAATGAGACAATGTGGTAAGGAAATGAAGAGATACAATCATTGGGGAAAGAAATAAAAAAAGTTGATTGTTGTAATGGAGAGAAAAAAAGGAGAGAAAGAAATGAAAAATATAGAGAGAAAAGGAAAAACAAGAAAGCACATATTCTCTGAAAAAAACCTAATCATTCCAAAAATTGAATTGAAGGAACTCGTCTTCTCCAAAAGACCTCAATTCTCCAAAACGATTGCAATAGAGATCATGCAAGGGAGAGATGTTGCCATTGTTAGGAGCTCAGCGGAGAAAAGGTTGCAAACACAGAGTAAGGGGGGAAATTGTTCTATAATGGGTATTTTACTGTTTAGGATAGTGAGAATTCCCTTAAACTCCGACTTCGGCCTAATTCTTTGTGGGAATTTCCATAAGAGATGATCTGTCTTGAATCCTAGAGTTTGGTTTGCTGGATTTGGGTACTTAGATTCTATGATTACTTGTATTACATGCTTGATCTATAATTGTTATATTTAAATGTTTAATTTATGTGATTTCATGCTTGCTTGATGTTATAATTAGTATATTTATGTGTTTTCATATGTTCAGAATAATATATGATGATAAGGAACCATAAAGACTTATCTGAGCGCAGAAAAACCAATATTTTCAATTATGAAAAGGTCATAATCAATTATGAAAAGGTCATAATCAATTATATATGGTCCGCCTTATTACACATGGATGAATACTTTGATTACTTTACTATAAAATCTTTTCTATTTTTTAATATCTAGGAGTTCTTGGTAGATAATTCAAAATCCATATGGATTGAATTGCTTAGTCCATATCATTATAACACATAAACTCTAATGTCCACAAGAACTAAGAGAATGCATGAAAATAAGAAGTGTAATAGAATCCTATTTTATCTTTATTATTTTGGAGTATAGGTGAGACCCGATCCAAAACTTACGGGTTAGGATTAGAGCTGTCAAAATGGGTCTGGTCCATCAGGCCGACCCATAAGCCCATTAGTTTAGCGCGGGTCGGACCACAAAATACCTTAAAAAAATACGACCATATCTTTTTGGCCCATCCCATTGGACCTATGTTTTTCACGGTTCGGGTCGGGTCAGGTCAAATGAGCTTCAGACTGATCCATTAAAAAAGATTTTGATAAATTTTGGGGAAAAAAGATTGAGATAAAACATGATTGCATAAGTGTGTTTTCAAGCGATAAAAAAAGTTAAAGAGGATGAAAATATATTTTCAAGATGATGTGATTAAGGAAATGATTGTGAGATGAAAGGAAAATTTGATAAGTATTTGTGATAATATTAAATTATTCTGTACTTTTAGATGAATATTTTTGTGGTATATATATATATATATATATATATATATATATATATATATATATATATATATATATATATATATATATATATATTGGGTTGATGAATATTTTAAAAATCACTTAATTAAGTTTATGATGAGTCTCTACTTATCTCAAGTAGCTTTTATCCATTACATCTTTTTTAATAAAATAAAAACTATAATATTGAAATACGAGCCGACCTGATCTATCGGGCTTTACGTACTTTTGAAAAACAGTTTAAACTCATTTTTTATAATCTATTAAACAATCAGATCTGACTGAACTAATCCATTTAAACACTTTAATCCAGCCGGCCTAATTGATAACTCTAGTCAGGAAGAGTTAAAGGATAAAACTCACTGTTTTTTTTTTAAAGTAAAAGAAGTGGTGACGTCTACAGGACGACGTCGTTTGTGAAATACAGCGGTTCTCAGAGCGCGCTCGCTCGCTCTCTCACACACTTCCGCAAGTTACAACCGGAAAAAACCCGAAGCCAAAATCGAACGCCGGAACCCTAAATCGGAGAAACTTCGGCGAATTTGAACACTCGATACTCTGAACCTTGAAATATGGTACGCTATTATCTTCATTATGACTGTTGTAATTTCATCGTTAACGTTTGTTTCTTCCTGTGAGTTTTGAAGTTCGCATTCTGATAAAATTTATTCGGTTTTGGTTTTTTCAGTTCTCAATTGCAGCTATCAATGACACCGACTCTAAATGTCAGTGGGAACCACTAGCTCCCACCAAAGAAGCTCAGGCACGTTTCTCTCATTCTCTCTTTACTAACTCTGAATGATTATGATTCTTATGTTACAATGATTATGATTCTTTCATATATTTTCAGGAATTTCATCTTTCTCAAACTTATCATGAAGGACTTGTCAAGTTACAAGCAAAGGAGTATGAAAAGGCTCGCGAGCTCTTAGAATCTGTGCTTAAAGATCCTCTCATTGCTGATGCTAAGGTGGATAGAGGTGCTGGTGACAGTCATCTATTGCAGCTCAGGTTTTAATCTATATTACACACTCTAACTCCGATCCATATTATTGCTGATGCTAAGCAGAACGAAAAAAGTTAATCAAAATTCATGAAGTATTCATATTTAGAAATAAAAGTCAAGTCTTGAGCAAAACATATTTGCAAATGCCAATAAAATTCAATAAAATAACCTTGCTATCCTTATAAATTTAAGGGTAATATCATTTACGGGCGACGTGGCCGGAGCGGCTGCTTTGATGCGGCGTCATTCTGAATCCAATCCCACTATTGCAGTCGTTCTAGCCGAGTCACCCATATGTGACGGAACGGCATGGCCTGACGCAGTTTTCTTGATTTTTCTGTTCCGTGAACGGCCGGAACGACCGAGTTTAATAACAGTAACATCAGTTCTAGGAAACTGTTGATTCTGATAATAATTTTGTGACTTTTAATCCTCATAAACCACACAGTTGGTGAATGTTTCTTTTTAAACTACCCTTTTATTGGGGGTGGGGGGCTTAGTTAAAAAAGTCATCCCATGCTTATGTGCTGTTTTTTAGGAGAGACCCATATACACGCACTTGTTTAATTCATGTTGCATTGCATGTTTCTTTTTTTCTACCTGCACAAGCTGTTGTTTTTCTTGCAATGCTTAACTGGGTCAATTTAGTATCTGCAAGCATTGTTGTATACTTGATAGATAGGGTTAATCAGCGTTTTGTTAGAAGTGTTTTATAACTTATCCAGTTGGATCTGTCAGTATTGAAATATAAGTAAGTATCTTACAATATAATGATTTATGAAGTAGTTTGTCTCGGAAGATTAGTTTCTAATCTTAGAGGTATCTTACATTATCTCCTAAAATTAGTTTCCATGTTGCTTAGTTATTAGTACCATGATTTAGTTTCCTGGTTTTCCTACTTATTTAGGATTAGGAGTCTTGTGTCCCTATAAACAAGGGTTAGTGTTTAGCAGTGTTATCGATTGGGGATGGAGGACCAAGGCGGAAAGCCAGAAATCCATCATTTTGAGTTGTTATAGTGCGCTACAGCAGAACAGTGTAGCGGTGATAGGGTTCCTCTCGATGCTTTTGGCTTGCATGCTGCCATCCGCAATAACGGTTGTTGCCAAGGTTGTTAAACTCTTACGAGTTTATGATTTTAGGCCAGAAAAACGAGTTTACTATCATGTAAACTCTCTTTTTTGTGAATTCTTACGAGTTTAATTAAATTTTGGTAAAATTGGTAAGCTCTCAATTTTACTATTAGTTTACAAGTTTACGATTCTACATTGGTTTGACTTTAAAATGTAAAATTGTCAATTTTTTTAGATATTTTGTTTAGTTATTTATGTGTTTTAGTGTATATTGGTTTTAAAATGTATCACATGTTTAGTGTTGTTGTGAGGGATAACTATTATCCCATGAGTTTGTTGCTTTTTGAAATTTTATTGTTTTTTGGTTTTTTAAAATTTCAACAGTTTTAAGAACTCATATTTTTATGATTTGGTAGGATAATTTATGTAGTTTGATACAAGTTTATGATTATGACCTTTTTAAATGGTAGTTTAGTGTATTTTTGTTTTATTATAAGTTGAAAATTTGGATTATTGATGCATCTATCATATTGTATAAAGTATAATGTTATGTATAAATTAATTTTAATATTATTTTAATATGAGGTAAACTCATACTAGTCTACGAGTTGAGTGTAAGAGTCAATTTCACTTGGCCAAAATGAGCTGACTTAAACCCTAGAGTTTAACATCCTTGGTTGTTGTAGCCGCAAATGGCGGCCCCAAACAGTTGTTGAGTTGACGATCAGAGTTTCAGGGAAAATTTCCTCATTGTGTGGATATAAATGGTGGGTCGCGCGGATCAATAAGCTCTGATAGCATTTTAAGTTTTATATTTAGTCTAATTCATTCTTACAAAATCGGCTTGTAAGGTGAGGGTGTCACTCTTTATTATAAAATAATTTCAATTTTTGGATTTTTTCAAATAATTGTTATATTATTACTGTATGTAAAGGTGTTATTATTTCTCTTCTGCTTTCAGTGTTGTTAAATAGCGGCTATAGCTCTATTGCATATCGGAGTTTGAGCAAACCACTGTTCCGGGATACACTATTTAGTATATAGTACTGTGAAATAGCGGCACTATTGCACTGTTGGCGTACCAGAATTTGAAATATTTTCTGCTATCTGCAATTAACAACACATTTATTTTATCTTAAACCTATAACCTGACCATTCGAAGATACTTACATATATTCTAACAGCTAGCTCCTCTTATCTGTTGCTAATTCACCGTTCACTTAAATATTTGCGTGTGTATAGATGTATATCTCCGTGTTACTTACAGAGGTTTCTGCAGGTTTTTGGCGCTGAAAAACCTTGCCGCTGTTTTTCTTCAGCTAGGTTCTACTCATCATGAGAATGCTTTACATTGTTATCTTCAAGCTGTGGACATTGATTCTAAAGATTCCGTTGTATGGAACCAGCTGGGAACATTGTCATGTTCAATGGGCTCGCTGAGCATTTCACGTTGGGCATTTGAACAAGGCCTCTTGTGCAGCCCTAATAACTGTAAGCACCTAAATTTTTTAATATTTCCTTTTTCTAGTGGTTACTTAATGACATGCTCATTGGTATTTCTTTTCTGTTTTCATGTCTGGATTAAATCCCCCTTCATGTTTTTCCAATTGAGTGTATTTTGAACAGTCTATCTATCGCTTCATGCTTGTGTGAGCATGTTTGTTGGATAAAACTGAAGAATGTCATCCACAACATGTAATTGCATTTTGGACCCTAGAATTACTTAAAACCCCCCTTGAAATTAGCATTTTGAGCAGTTTGAAAAGCCATTCCCTTCATGTTTTTCCAATTGATTGTATTTTGAACAGTCTATCTATTGCTTCATGCCTGCATGAGCATGTTTGTTGGATAAAACTGAAGAATGTCATCCACAACATGCAATTGCATTTTGGACCCTAGAATTACTTAAACCCCCCCTTGAAATTAGCATTTTGAGCACTGTGAAAAGCCATTCCGCTAATAGTAATAATTTGCTGCTTCCCACTGAATGGATATTCAGCTAGAATGCATTCTGGCATATTTATATTTAGTGTTTTACAAACTTGTCATCATTCATTGCATTTACATATTTTTTGAACTTCTATGGGGTATGGGGAAAATCAAAGATATGCGAGCTTTTACCCTGAGGCATTATCACTGTGGCTCGAGGATGAAATTTATTTGCATTATTATCCAGACAAAATTAGTTCTTTCAAAATTATTTGGATAATCATTTCCCACAATAAAGTTCATCCTTTAAAAGTAGTTTTCATAATATATTCTATTTAATAATAGTTCTATTTGTGCATCTGTGATATTCCACCCTTGATGTGTGATGTAGGGAATTGCATGGAAAAACTTTTGGAAGTTCTTATCGCAATTGGTGATGAAGTTGCTTGCCTTTCTGTTGCTGAGTTGATTTTGAGGCACTGGCCATCACATTCTCGCGCTTTGCATGTTAGAAATACTATTGAAGAATCAGAACCATTGCCATTTGCTCCCAGAGGCATAGATAAATTGGAACCAAAACATGTGCGGCTCAAGTTTTCTGCTAAGAGAAAAGCTAACGATGAGAATCTAGACGAGGATGTTGCATTTAAAAAGCTGAACCAAAACAAAGATCTATACCTCACCGAAGCTTCCTGGGTGGCTCTTGCTGATGCGCTGCTGGGGATCTTATTGCCTTCAAATCTGAAAATTTCTGAGGTAGAACCTAAAGAAACGAGCAGTTCTCCGGACATTAGGCTAAGAATAAACTTGCCTTGTAGTTCAGAAGCTGCTCTGAACACCATGGAAGTGAAAGGGTTAAGTGGTGAAAATAGTGCTTTTGGTGAAGCTAATGTAGGACCAGCAAGTGTTTTTAAAGAGAAAGAAGCAAATGCCCAAGAAGAACAACCACATGAAAGACGAAGTTCTCGACTTGAAAGGCTCCGCAGTCGTAAACCAGGGAAAGAAGATTCAAACTCTTGTGGTAAGGACCCTGCCAAGGTTGTCATTCGGTATCTAGAACCTTTCATTGCTGGTGGATTGGAGGATAAAAAAACTACCAATAGTGATACCACGACACTATCCTCCTCAGGAAATTCTGAATATGATAATGTTTCTGCATTTTTAAGACATACTTCAAATAATCATGGTGCTTACCATATGGGACACTTGCTGTTAGAAGAGGTTTCAAGACAAGGCCTCCCATTTCAGGATGCTTTTGTCAAGTTTCTGGAGTTGGAAAAGTCAACAAGGCATTGGGGGAAGGATAGAACTGCTGAGTGTAACCTTTTTCTTGCTGAGCTGTATTATGATTTTGGGTTATGCTCACCCACTGGTTCTAAACAACTGGAATGGATGTCAGAGGCATCTTATCAGCTTTGCAAGATTGTAGAGTCTGTAGCTCTTGACTATCCTTTTCACTTGACTAGTGCCTTGAATGAAGGTTGCATTTTAATTGATGGTTTCCAAGAGACTAGTGGAACATCAATAGACACCTCCACTGAAAATAATTCAGATTTAGACAGCTCACTTCTGATGAGAAACAGTTCATTCTGGTCTCGATTTTACTGGATAAGTGGGAGATTGTCTATTTTTGAAGGCAACAAGGCAAAGGCTTGTGAAGAATTTTGTATTGCTTTGTCACTTTTGGCAAAAAGGGAAAAAATGGAAAATTCTCCAGGTTCAGTCCCCTGCCCACATTGCAAGGATGTTAAAGAGATAAACATTGATAGGGTTCTCTATGAAGTTAATATATTGAAGGTCAATTTTTTGATGGAAAAGTCTGTCACTAGGATGATGGAGCAAGAAAAGTACGTTGACTGTGTATCTCTACTTACTCCACTTCTGTTCTCCTCACAGGATGTCTACTTCAATTCATTTTCTTTATCCATGGCAGATAAAAAAGATGAAAAGTTAACTTCCACCGAGCTCATGGCTCTAGATGTTCTAATTGAAGCATGTCAGAAGATAACGCCAACCGATGTAGATCTGTATTTCAATTGCCATTACAGAAAATTGAAAATACTTATGGCATTGACGGGTTTGAGTACAAGTATTACATCATTTAAATCTTTTGACCATACACATGGTTTCAGCGCACCTTCTAATTTGGATGACTCAAATGAAAGCTCTAACAAGCACTGCAGTCACTTGGTTGCAGAGGAAGTGAAGGCCCTCTCTGACTGTATATCACAAGTGAAGAAAGTTATTGATCACTGTGGAGATTCCGTGAGTAAATATCATTGTCGATAGTCTTGGATTCTAAGCTGTCTGATTCTGAGGTGTATTTCTTTAAAGTTGCTTTTCTGTTAATCCATGTAGCTCATAAACCATATTTGTGGCGACGTTAACTCTATTTCCTGAGCACAATTTAAATAAATCCATTACTTATATTAAATTAGGAGAGACTAAGAGACATTTAGGTTAAACCGTGTGTTTTGAAAACACTACGGAGACTTTATTATATATAGAGATTACAACTAATTACACGATATAATCGATGTGAGACTATTCTACATACAAATATTCTTAACATTATATATTTACAAATATCAACATTCCCCCTCAAGCTGGAGCATATAAGTCAAATGCACCAAACTTGCCACATATATAATTAGTTCTGTGGCTTCGCAGAGATTTTGTAAACACATCTGCCAATTGATCATTAGAGTTGACAAAGCTTGTGACGATGTCGCCAGATTCAATCTTCTCTCTGACAAAGTGACAATCTATCTCAATATGTTTGGTCCTCTCATGGAAGATTGGATTTGAAACAATGTGCAATGCAGCCTGATTATCACATATAAGTGTCATTGGTCTTGCTTTTTCAATTTTAAGTTCTTTGAGCAACTGTTTTAACCAAATGAGTTCACATGTTGCCATTGCCATGACCCTATACTCTGCCTCGGTGCTTGATCTTGCAACTACATTTTGTTTCTTACTTAAGGTTTCCTCCAACAAGTACACAATACTCAGAGGTAGATCGTCTATCAATTGGTGACCCTGCCCAATCAGCATCAGAGTATCCAACTATCTGAGTATGTCCTTTATCTTCATACACTAAACCTTTTCCTGGAGCACATTTGATGTATCTTAGAATCTGGATAACAACATCCATGTGTTCCTGACAAGGGGAATTTAAAAACTGGCTTACCACACTGACTGCAAAAGAAATGTCTGGACGAGTGACTGTGAGATAATTCAACTTTTCAACCAATCTCCTATACCTTCCCGAGTCTGATAGAGGCTCCTCCGTTGGAAAAAAATGTTTTTAAAAAAAAGGGGAGGCAAACTGGAATGATGACACGGTTTGCAGAAGAAAATTTCTCACCGAAAGACAGTGGGTCAACCGGGTAAAGCACAACGAAGAATTACCTCTTAGAAGGCTCTAGATACCATATTGAATTAGGAGAAACTAACAGACATTTAGGTTAAACCGTGTGTTTTGAAAGCACTACGGAGACTTTATTATATGTAGAGAGATTACAACTAATTACACGATATAATCGATGTGAGACTATTCTACATACAAATATTCTTAACATTATATATTTACAAATATCAACAACTTAAAACATATCTACCAATTGTCTATCATGAGACTGTGTGTAATCATCCTAATCCGTGAACTTTTACGTATAATACTCCCTTTTGGATAAACTTGACAAGCCTCGTCAATATGGTATAAGAAGTTTTTTGTTGCATGTAAAAACAAAAAAGCTCACCCTTGCATTACTGGTGTTTGCTTATTGATATTTTGGGCCTGGCAGATTTCTAGTTGAATTTGAAGAGATTGGCAGGCTATACTTTAGACTTTAGTATATGTAGTATTTTGGGCTTTTCTTATTTCCCGCCCAATTTTTAGAGGCAGGTTTTCCTCTCTGAACTCCTTTTTCTATGAATCTAGAAGAAAAAAAAGAACCAACAATACCATAATTGTATTTGGAGCTTTTTTCTCCTATCTTGTTTTCCCCTCATTCTCACTATATTATCAACGATTGTCTGTTGTCTTTGATCTGGATGTATTTACCTGAATCATTTGCAATTTTATCAAACGGATAAGTATTTTAAACTTAGCTTAGTCGGAAGGATTATCCAATATCCATATTAATTTTTATTTTGAACCAGTGTTGGCAATTGCGGATAGCGTAAAGTTGCAGTTCATTTTGCTAGACATCAGGGCTATAATGCCGTTGTAGCTGCTATTTGACAACATTTAGTACTAAGTAGCATATAGGAAAACAATAGTCTGATACAACCGCTATTTTACAATCCTGTTTTGAAACCGGTTTAGTTGGAGTTGAAACCCATTTATTTGATCTTTAAAGAGAGATTTACAGACCTTTGCTTGTACAACAGTATTCAATAGGACTAAAGGGGTAATAAAAATTGCATGTTTGCTGATTAAAGTTTCCCCGCAGATCTTTCTCCTGATACATATGTTATGTGCAGCTTGAATTTGGACACACTAGCTCAATTATTTTCTCACTAGCTACTTTTAAATGGAATAAGTTATATTGGGTCAATCTTGAGTGTGCAATTTCAAATCGCATTGCAATAATTTTTACAGATCGAAATAAGAACTTTGGTATTGTGGCAATAAGCAATATTTACTGTCCAATTCTGTAATTGGGTGGAGTGTATTGCTCTGATTTTTAAGGACCTTCAATTGCCTCCATATATGCTTTGTTAGCTTGTGTTTATGGCTCTTCTATATTGCATCATCCTCTTAATTATATTTTCCTCCCTTTTTGTCATAAACTGTAGTTTTCATTGAAAAGTAAAACAGCCATTATCGGTGAGATTGCTAATCCAATTAATGTAACATGGTTTTACGGACAACACTGTCTGTTTCCTCTTCATTTTACTGCAGTATGTCCTTTGTCGTGAAAGCATTTGTGTTCATACGTTTGCAGGATGTTCTCACTGTTCCAACAAGCAGCATTTGTCAAATGCAATCTCTGCTGCTGTTAATCATGGGCTATGTCGTGAATGTACTTGTGTGCAACATAACCTCTGCACAAGTAATCTCTGATCAATTGGAAAGTAACTGTTTTGTTGACGCAGCCATTGTTTTCTGCAAACTTCAGCATCTTAGCCGAACCACACCTATCGAAACTCAAGTTAGCTATCTCCTTTGTGGCATAATTTTACTTTGAATGATTGCTCATTTAAATTACTAATTTTTTAATAGAAAATCATTGCCACTTTTTCCTGAATTCTCAACTCAGGTTGATTTAATTGTTGCAACACATGACATGCTTGCTGAATATGGGCTTTGCTGTGTCGGTGAAGGTGGCAAAGGCGGAGAAGGAACATTTCTTAGATTTGCAATAAAGCATCTATTGGGCTTGGATATGAAGTTCAAATCCGGCTTTAACCTTAAAAATAAAGAATCAATGCGATGCGAAGAAGCATCCAAAAACAGTATTGTCAATTTATCTATGGAAGATTCAATATCAGATACATTAGATTTCCGGATGGATTGGACCAGAATTGATGAAATTACCTCTGTGAAAAAGGATGTTTCTGAAGGAATATCTGAAGGAGTCGCATCTTGCAAAGTTCAAAATAAAAACAGTAAGGAGGTAGAGTGTGAAGATAACGTGGTTGCTGGGACTGACTGTAAGTTAGTTAAGGGTGAAAATTCATGCAATCAATTGATTGAACGTGGAAATGAACTTTCTGAAGATGAAACAGAAGAACTTGAGTCTAAAATTGACGGGGCCTTAGATCAGTGCTTTTTCTGTTTATATGGATTAAATCTAAAGTCTGATTCATCCTATGAAGATGATCTAGTGATGCACAAAAATTCAAGTCAGGGAGATTATCAGACCAAAGAACAATGTGCTGATGTTTTCAAATATGTTCTTCCTTATGCGAAGGCATCTTCCGTAAGTACTCTCTTTCTTTAATTTGCATAGCTCCCTCAGCTTATTTACACAATATGGTACCAAAATTGCAATAATATATTTACTTTTGCTAAATTTTTTCATGTCTGTTAGAAAACTGGACTGGTCAAGCTTCGCAGAGTTTTAAGAGCTATTAGGAAACACTTTCTTCAGCCACCAGAGGACCTTTTGACAGGAAATCCAATTGATAAGTTCCTTGATGATCCTAATCTATGTGAAGATAAACTATCCGAGGAGGCCGGATCTGAAGGATTTCTTGAAACTATAACTAAGACCATGTTTCCTGATGTGGGAGGCCTTGGACATTATAACACAACACTATTGAGGAGGTATACATTTAGCCAATAGTGATTTTTTTAATCTTAGTCGTAACCTGTCTCCTGTGAATCATATTTAATGGATACTATATATCCATGACATTCCTTGTTTTTATATTCTTAGTTTTAGGTTTATCTCAGTTTTTTAACTTTCAGATCTGAGCCATATTTGGACGTCTACTGTAACTTGTATCATTTCTTGGCTCTGTCTGAGGAAATGAGTGCAACTGATAAATGGCCTGGATTTGTGCTGACCAAGGAAGGGGAAGAGTTTGTTGAGCAAAATGCTAAGCTCTTCAAATATGATCTCATGTACAATCCTCTACGCTTTGAAAGCTGGCAGCGACTTGGAAATATTTATGATGAGGCAAGTTTAATTGCATTTGGCGCATTAAAATGTGGATTCTTTGAAATTTTCAGATGAACAATGAGGTCTTAATATCTAAATATGTTGACATATAAAATTTCATGTGTTCTTGGTCGAGCCAGGAAGTAGATTTGTTGCTTAATGATGGTAGCAAGCACATTAACGTAGTAGGATGGAGGAAGAATCCCACTTTATCTGAGAGAGTGGAAACAAGCCGAAGAAGGAGTAGACGGTGCCTACTAATGAGTTTAGCTTTGGCAAAGACATCTGCTCAGCAGGTGTGACCCCTGCATATATTCATTCACTCTTTTTAAGTTTTCTTTTTCTTCGACGAGGATAATCAATATCCTCTTGTTCAGTTTTGTTCAATCAATATAAGAATTTAACTACAAAGGATAGAATATTGTTTATACCCCTTAACATTCCATCCAAATGTTATGTTTTTTAGATGAAAGAACTCGTTTTTTGATAGTTACTCGTTTACCCTAAATGTCGGACAATATTTAAGGCCAACTAAATGTGCCATAAATATGTGTCTTCATGCTGTGATGTCCAAGGCTCACATTGTTATGAATATGCAACTTTGCATGCTTACAATGTTAACTTGAATAAATACACTCTTAGGACTTTTAGATGTTTCTTTGTCTGAGGTAAACATAGTATTTAAATTTTGTGTGTGTGTGTGTGTGTTTTGTTATGTTTTCAGGCTAACAAAATGTGTCTTAAAGGTGTAATGTTCAAGACATGTAATGTTATTGGCTTGCAATTTTATATGCTTACAATGCTAACTTGTATAAATACACTCTTTTAACTTTTTAGATGTGGGTTGTTAGTTGTCACTGTCTTGGTATGCGTTTTGATACCGTGTTTAACTTTTTTTTTGGTGTGTAATTGTTGTATTTCCAGTGCGAGATACATGAGTTATTGGCATTGGTATACTACGACAGTCTTCAAAATGTAGTCCCATTTTATGATCAGAGATCTGTTTTGCCCTTAAAGGATGCAACATGGATGGCGTTCTGTGAGAGCTCAATGAAACATTTTAAGAAAGCCTTCACACTTAAGTATGCCCTCTTATCTTGTGTCTTATTTTTTGCACTTATCTGTTATAATGACGTTAATGAACCACTTTTGTTCTTTTTACAGGCAAGATTGGTTGCATGCATTTTACTTGGGTAAACTTAGCGAAAAGCTTGAATATTCACATGAAATTGCACTATCATATTACACAAAAGCTATTGCTTTGAACACATCAGCTGTTGATCCCGTCTATAGAATACATGCCTCGCGCTTGAAACTATTATTTAAATGCGGAAAACAGAATGTGGAGATTCTGAAGGTTGTGCCTCTTTCTTAATGCTTTACTATATTTTGATATTACTTTGTTTTCTTGCCTTTACAATTGTCCATTTATTCTGATTGTCTATTCATCAAATCAATTTAAAAATTAAAGGTTGGTCTGGTCCTCTACAGGTTCTTTCAGCAGACTCCTTTGATCAATCTGTAAAAGAAGCTGTCACAAGTATCCTTGGCAGCACAGATAGCTCATCTTTAAATACAATGGAGAGCTGTATTCATGCCAATTCTGTGGATACTAAGCATGAAGGGTTACTCAAATTAGATACTGCATGGTCCATGCTTTACAATGATTGCCTTTCTGCACTTGAAACTTGTGTTGAGGGGGAACTCAAGCATTTCCATAAGGCCAGATACATGTTGGCTCAAGGGTTGTATAGAAGGGGGGAGAGTGGTGATTTAGAGAGAGCAAAAGATCAACTATCTTTCTGCTTCAAATCTTCACGCTCATCATTTACCATAAATATGTGGGAAATCGATAGCACGGCAAAAAAAGGAAGGTACATTTTCAATATTAACTTTTTTTTAATCTTTTCACTTCTATTATTTAACCTTGTGTTAGTTTAAACTTGAGCGATAAATTTTTTGCTAGAAACAATTGTTTATCGAGTGTTCATACTATGGGATATTTCCAACGGCGTGTAACAAATGCTTTGGTATTTCTACTGAGTGTCATGACTGTTGAATTAGGAGAGATTAAGAGACATTTAGGTTAAATCGTGTTTTTAGAAAAGTACTACGGAGACTTTATTATATATATAGAGATTACAACTAATGCTATGATATAGTCGATGTGAGACTATTCTACATATAAATATTCTTAACACTATATATATACAAATATCAACACTCCCCCTCAAGCTTGAGCATATAAGTAAAATGCACCAAGCTTGCCACATATATAATTAGTTCTGGGACTTCGCAGAGATTTTGTAAACACATCTGCCAATTGATCATTCGAGTTGACAAAGCTTGTGGTGATATCGTTTGACTCGATCTTCTCTCTGGTTAAGTGACAGTCAATCTCAATATGTTTGGTCCGCTCATGGAAGATCACCATGTAAAAATGCATTTTTGATGTCAAGTTGATGAAGAGGCCAATGTCGAATGGCTGCAATGGCTAGAAGAAGTCTAACAGATGTCATCTTGGCTACAGGCGAGAAGGTATCACTATAATCCAATCCAAAAATCTGAGTGTATCCTTTGACTATCAAGCGAGCTTTAAATCGATTAATCTTACCATCTGAACCAACTTTCACTGTATAAAGCCAACGACAACCTACTAAAGATTTCCCAGGAGTAGATGAACCAGTTCCAAGGTACCACTGCTTTGAAGAGCACACATTTCATCAATCATTGCTTGCCTCCACTTAGGGTGAGATAATGCTTCACCTGGAGTGTTAGGAATAGAAGCAGAAGATAAAGAAGACAAACAAGTATATTGCAAAGGGGAAAGACGATGATAACATAAATCAATATAATGTGGAGAAGGATTTCGTGTTTGACGTATACCTTTTTGAAGGGCAATCGGAAGATCGGAATCAGGTTGCAGGATCGGATCCGGTGATGGCGAGAGCGTCGGAGGAGAGTCTGCAGTGACTTCAGGGACATGTACGACCTCAGGGACATGTACGACCTCAGGGACATGTACGATCTCAGGGACAGGTACGCCAGACGTTGGTTGACGACGCTGATATGTTTGAAGTGGACGAGAAGTCAGGGGGTTAACCATAGGGTTATCTAGTGGGCCAGGTTCCCTAGAATGATGGGGGATAATGACATACGGGACTTCCAGAAGAGGTGTGGGAGTACTCTCTTGAAAGGGTTCTGGAGTTACTTGGATGGACTCGAAATATGGAACAAACTTGAAGAAGGTGACATCTGCCGACATGAGGTATCATTGTAGGGTATGTGAATAGCAACGATAACCTTTTTGGGATCGATGATAGCCAAGAAAGACACACTTTAGCGATCGAGCTGATAGTTTATCAAGATCAGGAGAGAAATTATGTACAAAACATGTAGACCCGAAGACTCGGGGAGGAATTGGGTGAAGGGGGGAATGGAGAAAAAGGATTGAATGGGGGATTTTATTGTTAAGGACAAATGATGACATGCGATATATAAGGTAACGTGCCGTTAGCACAGCATCTCCCCAAAACCGAAGTGGAACATTACCATGGAGAAGTAGGGCCCAAGTGGTTTCTACAAGATGCCAATTTTTGCGTTCGGCTACCCCATTTTGTTGAGGTGTATGAGGACAAAATGTTTGGTGTAGAATACCATTACTGAACATAAAAGTTTGAAATTGTTGGGACAAATGTTCATGAGCATTATCACTTCTTAAGGTACGAATAGACACACCAAACTGAATTTTTATTTCTTTATAAATTTTTTCAAAAATAGAAAATAATTCTGATCTATTTTTCATTAAAAATAACCACGTGCAACGTGAAAATTCATCAATAAAGGTGACAAAATACCTAGACTCAAGAGTAGAGATAGTACGTGAGGGACCCCAAACATCGGAGTGAACTAAAGCAAAAGGGGACGGAGCTCGTTTATTGACTCGATTGGGAAATTGACTACGAGTGTTTCCCTAACTGACACGATTCACAATGTAAATTAGATACTTTCGATAAATTTGGCATCAACTTCTGTAATTTAGGAAGACTAGGATGACCTAACTGAGCATGGATTGTGAGTAGAGAATCTTTGGTTAAGCATGTCTGAGATGACACTGAGAGGTAATAAAGGCCTTGAGACTCACATCCGACGCCAATTGTCTGTCCCGAACTCCGATCCTGCAGGGTGACGTTACTATTAGTGAAAGTGACAATACAATCAAGAGAACAAGTTAAACGACTGACTGAAAGTAAATTAAATGGACAATTAGGTACATAGAGAACCGAAGTAACAAAGAGAGAAGGTAGAATTTGAACACTACCAATTCCTTCGGATCCGGTTTGAGAACCATTGGCATAAGTTATTGTAGGTAAGAAATCAGAGGTAGAGAGGGAAGAAAAAAGATTTTTATTACGAGTAACATGATCAGACGCACCAGAATCAAGGACCCAAGGTCCAAGAGAAGATGATTGAGAGAAGCAAACAAATGAATTACCAGTGTGTGCAACCGAAGCAGTAGAATTTGAGTTCTGATACCACTTGAGGAAGTCATCGTAGTTTGGCGTAAAATTCTGAGCAATAGCCATGAGTATCAGATTTGGAAAAGTTGCCGGTTGCGAGTGCGGTGGTGTTAAAATCGTCAGAATCGTCCGGATCGAAGGAGGCGCTTTTGCCGGTAGGGTTAGTTTGCCGGAAAGTCGTCGGAATTAGTAGCGGTGGATGGCGGCAGCAGTCCGCTGGTTACCAGAGAATTTTGGAAAGTGGGAGGCAAACCAGAGTGATGACACAGTTTGCAAAAAAAAAAATTGTCACCGGAAGACAGTGGGTCAACCGGGTAAAACACGGCGAAGAATTGCCTCTTAGTAGGCTCTGATACCATGTTGAATTAGGAGAGACTAAAAGACATTTAGGTTAAACCGTGTGTTTAGAAAAGCACTACAGAGACTTTATTATATATAGAGAGATTACAACTAATGCTATGATATATATATATATATATATATATATATATATATATATATATATATATATATATATATATATATATATATATATATATATATATATATATATATATATATATATATATATATATATATATATATATATATATATATATATATATATATATATATATATATATATATATATATATATATATATATATATATATATATATATATATATATATATATATATATATATATATATATATATATATATATATATATATATATATATATATATATATATATATATATATATATATATATATATATATATATATATATATATATATATATATATATATATATATATATATATATATATATATATATATATATATATATATATATATATATATATATATATATATATATATTATATATATATATATATATATATATATATATATATATATATATATATATATATATATATATATATATATATATATATATATATATATATATATATATATATATATATATATATATATATATATATATATATATATATATATATATATATATATATATAAATAAATAAAATCGAGGATTTTTTTTAAATGAAAAGAAATCTTTCCCAAATGGTCTTTATATAACTTGAGGACTTCCCACTTGTTGGATTTGTCATCCGAGCCACACTGGAGTTGAGAAACATCAATGTTGTCAATAAACTGATTTCTACTATGCATTTAATGATATCAGGCGCAAGACACCGGGTTCTACTGGGAATAAAAAAGCCCTCGAGGTTAACTTACCAGAAAGCTCTCGAAAATTCATTACTTGCATTCGAAAGTATTTGTTGTTTTATCTCAAACTGTTGGAGGAGACAGGAGATAGATGTATTCTTGAGCGTGCATATGTTTCTCTCCGGGGAGATAAGCGGGTAAATTCCTAAAAGTCTGATTTAGAATTATGACTCAATAAACAATAACTGCTTTTGCTTAGTTATTCTTCATTTGTTCTCATGGAACTGGAAGCACTCTTTTTAGTATTTTTTTTTACTTGATGCTTCATATGCTCTGATTTTGACTTTACTTCCTATCATATCATCAAACTGATTGCAAATTGAAGAATTTACTATCGGCTTTATCTAAACTTTAAGGAAAACTCTTGCCAATATATTTTACATAAAATCATCCTATCTTGTACCCATCATATCTCCCCCTTTTCTCTTCGATTTTTTCTTTTGTCTCTGAAAAACTTATTTTATATAAAATTCCAAACACAATCAGGTCGATTTTGCCAATATTTGGAAGTTTCTATTGCTGATTCATTCAACTTTTTTGAATGGATTTATTTATAATGGAGATTAATTTAACTATGCAATCCAGTCTAATAGATAGTATTCCTCCTAATTCTTCAGCAATAATAAAATCAAACTCATTAACTATTTGCTACCTTCTTCCCCTAGACATCTCAAAGGTGTTTCTTAAATAGCGTTTTGAAGCTTTTCTATTTGAGTTAATTCTGTGGTGCACAAGTAAACAGTGTTGTATCGTGCACTGGTTTTTTCCCACCATTAAATCAATAATATCTCACTTGATCCATTGGTGGAACTTATTGATCCAACGGTGAAAACAAACTCGTGCATGGTACAACACATATCTCACTTGTGCACCATAGAACTAGCCTTCTAATTGTCTTATATTTCCCACTTTTTATTTATGTATGTGTATGCATGAGCAAAGCCCCTTTTCACCCTCATAGATGGGTAAAACATTCCAATACTGTCTATACTCTGGTAATAGATTATGCATGGGTCACTCTCAACTAAAACCCACATGATTTCTTGTCGTATTTGCACACCTTGTCATCTGATCTGAAAGTACTATAAACCTGATCTATTGTCTCTTTTACTTGCAGTTTTCATTATGCCTTGAAGATCTTGTACCCGTGGCTATCGGAAAGTATTTAAAAGCCCTGATTTCAGCCATGCGTCATTCACAGACTACTGCCTCTTTTCCAGTGAGCAGCTCTGACAATGTGTTGGATAAAATGTTTGCTTTATTTATGGAGCAAGGAAGCATGTGGCCAGAAATATACAGCTTGCCTGAAATCGAGTGTCGTGATACATCAGAAAGTATCATATATGGGTACTAAATCCTGTTAAATTTAAATTTAAATAAAATAAAATTTTGACCAATCTAGTCCGCAAACTTTTGTAGCTTCTCTGGTTGAAATATAATGTCTTTGCTGCCTGTTTTGTCCTAATCCAGATCCTCAAATAATTGCAGGTATCTCCATGAACATATATCATTGTTAGAGATAAATGGAAAATTGGAAACTCTTGAAACAGTTAATGAAAAGATTCGAAAACGTTTTAAGAATCCTAAGCTCTCAAATAGTAGTTGTGCAAAAGTTTGTAAGCATGCTTCTGTTGCTTTGTGTCGATCTCTTATATACAATTTGGCACAAATTACTCCTGTATCATGTGGATTCTTAAATGAGATTCAAGTCCATAATTTGAATGATGATGGGATGGAAAATAGCCAGCTGCTCTGTATTGATTTGCAGCCACGTGAATTATTGATTACTTCTTTTGAAGATCCATCTATTTTAGAAAAGATTGAAACAAAATGGAGTCCCATTCTATCAAAAATAAAAAATATACTGATCAAGAAAGCTTCTGATGAAAATTTGGAAACAGCAAACACTTTGCTCAGAGCTTGCTATATTTTTTACCGGGAGAGTTCTTCTGTGGTGCTTACCTCTGGCCTCAACTTTTATGTAATTCCATCTCAATTAGTAACAGAGACACCGTTCAGCCCAACTATCACCGGAGTTGAAGCCCTTGATCTGAGCATCCCAAGGAAACTTCTCTTGTGGGCCTATGCGATGGTACATGGACGTTATGCAAATATATCAGTTGTTGTGAAGCATTGTGAAGAAGGTTCAAAGGTATGCTAAGTTCTTTGAGTTAGATCATCTATAAGCAAGAAAAATTCATATGGAATTTGTTAGAGATGAGTCATTCGATATTCATGTGTCTTCTCACCTAAGCTTTGAGATACTTGCTTTATGACAATCTTTGAGATAGGTGCTCGACTTTCAAATATTTCTTGGTTGACAGTATTTTATGAATTTTCACCTCCAGGAGCCGTAACTTTGGAGTACATCTACCACATGATAATTTAAGTTGAGGAGTTACTTAGTTATCATTGTAGTTTTCTACAACTTTTGTTGTGAAATGTACTTCAACTGAAGATTGTGCTGTATAATCCTTTATCATGTTTACTTGATCATTGCATGATTTTGAAATAACCGATTCATCTAACCATCAATCCTTACATTTGGTTCTGTGGTGCAGTCAAAGATGAGAAGGGGAAGTGGAATGTCACCAGCACTTACAAACTCGCCTGCAACTGCCCCATCTCTTCCCGGTAATTTTTCATCCTCAATTAAATAATAATGTGTTTGTACTTTGAAAGTCTACAAGATAAGAAATTGCTTAACATTTACAAATACACGTTGGTTGTAGGTAGCAGTAGAAGTGGACCATATGAGGTTGATTGTACCCATGTCACAACAGCATGGAGTGGTTCGCATTTCACTGATGTTGTTCAGAAGAATCTGTTCGGTTCTCCGCAGTTGCATCAATGTACCAGTAACGATGCAGAGAGAAGTAATGCAAACGTCCGTGAACCAGAGACACGAGATTGACTACCCTTTCTTGTCCTTGTAAAGTTTTGAAGTTTTAACTACTGTAAATTCCAATGTTTATAAGAAAATGTGATGACTATAACATCTCAATGGGATTAGGCAGCCTCAATTGTTTTTGTTGTAATGATTAAGCCGGTTAATCGAGTGAAAATGCTCTCATCAAACAGAAAATCAAAAGAACATTACTGAATATCGACAATGGCTACATAGATTGTGCACCGTATTATTCATTTTGTAACTGTTGTATAACAAAAATTTGTCAGATCTTCTAGACTCGTTACACTAGATTTTATCCATGTCATTTCTGAACAATATACAGCAGCGACGTGTCTCCTACCCGACATGACCATGTTAAGCATATAGTTTTTCTTTATCATGTAGTTTGAATTAAAAGAAAAATATTTATAATTTTTCTTTTACTGAGAGAAAAGTGGGCATGAATTAACATTAAGTGTTTTCACTATGGTTCTTAGAAACAACTTATCAATGCAAAAATATTTTCATGATCTTCTATTAGTTATATAGTTTCCCAAGAAAGCTTATCTAAAATTTTCAGAACTATATCTAATTTTTATGTGTGATTCCTTCCTTTTTTTCTAATATATATTTTATAATATGAACCAAGTGGGTTGATGCACTCCAAGTTTTAAGTAATAAGTGCTAAATCTAAAATAAAAATAGGGTTGTAAGTGCAAACCTAGAATAAAATATAGGGTTGTAAGCGCAAAATCTTTAAATTTTATTATATGAAAGATAACCCATATAGTTATGTCAAAGATCTTTAAATATATAAAATAAAATAACCCTAATAGATTTTTAATTCAAAACAAAATTAAATAAATAAAACAAATAAAATATAAATTATTAAAATCGTAGAAAATAGTAAAATACTATTTTCGGGTCTGAAATAAATTCAAATGGCTTAAAATCTATAGGTCACTGCATTGCAATGTGTTGGAGTTCTGAGACGATTCCCTTTCTGAAAAGGTATAATACGAGTAATTCTGGCATCAGACGTCAAATTTGCGTAAATCTTGCCGAATCATTCCGACACGCGCTTTTTCTTTGATATACGCAAACAAACCTCCTACATTAGTCTCCTTCACTTCAAAAGAATCCGACCCCGAGTTCTCTTCTTGATAAAGAGCTTCATATGGGCGCCGCTTGCTATTATTACCAACTAGTAACTTCTCCTTACACAAACACCATCATATCTTCTCCAACATTGAAAACTTTAATTTCCATGTATTTATCTCGCATAAGAGAGAAATTATTTGGTATCTCATATGCGGCCAAATCCTTGAAATCCTTTAGGACCTCTAGAACTTCTTTTTGGATTTGTTTTCTCCTTTACAACACTCATCACCTCTTTAGTCAATGCTGGACATAAATAATTTAGATTCTTTAATAGTCTTATCAAGCTCCTTCTCACTCTGTGTCATCGACAAAAAAATATATTTAATTCCTCCTGGATTCTTATCAGAGTGCAAAACAGGATCCATAATAATTTTATGTGTGCCCCATGTAAACATCATCACATTATCACTTCCTCAATAAGTGATATCATTATCAAATTGTCAAGGTCTACCATGTAAACCATGACAAACATCCATATAAAAAAATTTCATCTTTTACCTCATTGATTTGCAAATGTTCCACCTTTTCATCCATGTCATGATTTCACCTTTGCTTTCAGGTATATCAAAAGTTAGTAGCTTTGAATTTTCACTTAAAAGTCATTGTTCTTCAGATTTAAAAGCAACTGCAATTGTAAAAGAATCTTCACTCACTTCAGTATAAGAATCAAATTTAGAATAAATACCATTATCATTGAGTTGATTTTTGTAATTGATTGTGAGATTCTCATTCTATAAATTTCCTTGTGCTTCTCCTTCATATTTATCAAATTCATCGTCACCATAATTTACTTAAGTATTCTTTGCGATCCATTTGACAATTTTGGACCTCACCTCTTCAACAGGAATTGTCTCCAATTTCTTTAGTTTAGAAATGTTACTTTCAAGTTTGTAAGGTATAGAACTTTTCTGCAAGGTGTGTAAATTAGAAACTTTTACCTGAGAAAAAAAATCAATGAAAGGAGACAATTTCTGTAGGCCTGATGATTTTATTATCCCAGTTTGATGCCTTTGGATGGTGGATGTAGAAAGGAAATTGGATTATCCGAAAGTTTTTCACTACTAACATGTCTTCCTCTTCTGTCTCGTTGTTGATTCATGTTATGGTTGGCGTTCTTCACCTGATTTTCTAAATTTTCCATCTGTTCAGTCAAAATAGTTAGAGTCGCGGTAAAAGCCACAATAATTCCCTCAAAATCTTCTCTGGTTGCTCGTTGATCTATCATGGTTGTCAAGCTACGAAAAGAACTGACGCAGTTGGAAGTCATAGGAATTGGTTAGCGCTAAACCTAGAAAAAAGAATAGGTTTGCAAGTGCAAAACCTAAAATATAACACAAAGTTGCAAGCGCAAAATCTATCAGATAAGACCTGGAATCCACCAACACAAAGAAAACTTTGGATTCTATTATAATAAAAGATAATCCTTATGGTTATATGCCAAATATCTTTAAATACATAAAACAAAATAACTTTAATGGATCTTTAAACCAAAACAAAATCAAATAAATAAAATATAAATTACTAAAATTGTAGAAAATAGTAAAATACTATTTTCAAGTCTGACATCAGACCCAAACTTGCGTAAATTCTATCGAATCATTCTGATGATCGCTTTCCCTTTAATATGTGCATACGAACCTCATACATCAGTGAATAAATTCAAGACCTATATGAAAATATAACAAACTCTAAAATTAAATATAAATAAGAAACCTTTACACTATCTCCTAATAACTATCCATTTTTTCCAATAATGTCTAGCTTAATCTAACAATTTATCCTTTAATTTTTTACTCTTCCATTTAACCTTTCTGAACTCGGTGGAAGTGTACCTCTGCAATAGTTTATCGGTTCATGTTTAGAGTTTTGGCACATATTTTATTCATTAGATTATTTTCCAATAAATATGTATTGATGGTTACCGGATAACTTGAATTACAACTATTCGTTATTATAAACTTTCACGGATAACTTATTAAGTATTCTGATGTATTGAAACGTTGTTCAACAGATTACCCTCTCATGAGCCTCCCAGTACATTTTCTGATATATTCCCTCCGTTTCAAATTATAGGGCGGATCTATCATTTCACGTGAATTAAGAAATACTATTATTACTTTATGAGAAAATGAAATGATATATGACTTTACAAAAATGTCTTTAAATAATTATAATAGAAAGTGAAATTAAAAGAATTGAAAGAAAAAAGAGAAATAAATAGTAGAAAATATATTAGATAAAAGTCATTAATGATGTATTGAGATTGTAAATTGACTTATAATTTGGGACAAATATTTTTGGCAAAGCGACTTATAATTTAGGATGGAAGGAGTAATTATGTACAACACACAAGAATATTTTTTTTCGAAATGATTTGTATGACGTCAACTGAGTTGATATTTTCTGTTGCATTTGCTAATATGAAAGCTGAGCTGACAAAAAAGTTTAGTTGGATATTGGATAAGTTGAAACAATTGTTTATTAAAGAAATGTTATGTTCATAAGTGATTTTGACGGATAAAAATCTTACTTTAATGAAAACAATTACAGTTGGGCAATTTCTCTTTCCACCCTTGCATGTTCTCCCAAGCCCCTGGCGAAAAGTCAAAAATGTCCCATATTTTAGAAGATGCATCTTTGAACACACTATTTTCACACAAAATAAGCGCAAATTGTTGAGTTCTCCTCACTATGACAAAAATTAATTCAGACATGAATCTGCGAATGTGTTTTAGGGTTTGTTCGTAGATTGCATCTCCGAATTAACCCTTGATTTCAAATTAAGGCAAATTTTCAGAGATGCATCTCTGAAAGTGTTTAATGTATATATATCGCACACAGACCCTCCATCTTCTCCTTCATTTTGATGAATTCTTTTCTTTATCCCATTGGAGCTCGTGAGCAACATTATTTCAGTCAAGTTTTGAAGCAATAAAAGAACCTTTACTTCAATCTTAACAATCCCAACTCACTCCACATACTACTGAGGCACAAAATGTCTTGGCTTGTTTAAGAGAGGTGGCGATGATACTATTGCCCTAACACGTTCCATTCTTACTGAGGCACAAAATGTCTTGACTTGTTTAAGAGAGGTGGCGATGATATTGTTGCCCCAACACGTTCCATTCTTACTGAGGCGCAAAATGCCTTGGATTACAGGCAGCAGAGGAGGAGTCAGAGAGTTAGGATTAAGCATACGCAGTAGATTATGCTTTTTTTAATGTATTTTCGGATGTTTTTCTAGTATTTTACATACATTGAGAACTATGTATGTAATATTATAACTTTTTGTTTTAATTAATGCATTACCTTATTTTGAGATGTTAATATTTGGATTAAATTATGGATTATGACATTGTTAGTCGGATTAAAATAACTTCAAATTAAAAAAAATACAAACTTATACATTGTTTCTGTCCATATTACATTCAAGGAAGTTTTTGAATATGCATCTCTGAAATCAGAGTTTTCGAAGATGTATCTCTGAATAGATCCCAAATATATTCACAGATGCATCTCTAAACCAAATTTTGACAAAAATAATTCATGGTGCGTCTGGAGATGCATGATAAGTGTAAATTGTAGCTATTTTTGTATATAATTTTTATTGCACTTATCGACTTTTTATTGTAAATATCGTTGAATAAACTTGACTTTTGTATAAATATATTTAGTTTGTGTTTATTTGTGTTTATTTGTGTTTTTGAGTACATAGTGTATCATTTTATGTTTTTCCATTCATTTTATAGGTATTGATGCGTATTTGGAGCATGAGCAATAAAGTGTCGAAGACACGATTTCAAACACGCGATTTTGAGCAACTCGTCAACGGATAAGGCTCAAAATTAAAGAATAAGAAATCA